CTTCTACTTTGCTTTCAAGCAAGAAGACAAAACCTATTTCAATCAGCATGTTATCAGGACAAAGCATACCTAAAAGTGAGGTGCTATCCTGGGACATTACAAGACATAGGCTAAACAATGGAAATAGTGTGTTGTAGACCGAGCTAAACAATCTGACAACCAATGGATCTGGTCTAAAGTCTGCAGTCCTGCCGCATCCAGTTGTGTGTGTTGGTGGACAATTAAGAATTCATTGAAGGAGGAGGCTGCACAATTATCCTCACCCTAAATGAACAGAGAGCCCAGCACATCATTGTAAAGACAAGATTGAGCATTTGCAAACAGCTTCAGTCAGAAGTGCCAAGTGGGTATCCATTTCAGCGCCTGGAAGCCCGCAGCATCATGAATGCCAGCCTTTGGCCAATTCAGTTCACTCTGTGAAGTCAAGAAATAGCACAAGTCTCTGAATGCTGCAAAGGCTGTTGGGTTCCGTCAACAGTTGTACTGAAAAAATGTTCCAGAGCTAGCCGTGCTCACAGCCAAGTTTGTTTTAGTGTAGTTAAAACGCTGGCATCTACACAGAATGCAGAAAATTGTCTGTCCCTAGGGATCAGGCAAATCCTACCTGGCTAATTACAGCCCATTATTTTGCTCTTGATCATCAGAAAAATAATGCAAGATGTTGTTGACGGTGCTGTTGAGTGGCATTTCATTAGCTGCTCATTGATGTTCAGTTTGAGTGCTGCCAGGGTGAGCCGTTACAGACTTTGATCCAAGCATGGATAGAAGAGCTGAACTTGACAGAGTCTATGATGTCAAAGTCGTATTTGACTAAGTGTGCCATCAAAGAGCTCAGTGGGAATCTGTTGGGAGCAGTGGGGTGGGGAGGGAAAACTTTTCCCTGATTGGTGTCATACCTAGCATACAGGAAGGTGGTCTTGGTTGTTGAAGGTCAATCATCTTAGTCACAGGAAATCACTACAGGACCTCCTGAGGGTGGTGTCCTCGGCCCAAGCATCTTCAGTTGCTTCTTCAACAACCTACCCTCCATCATAAGGTCTGAACTGTTGATGGTTGCTGCTGATTGCACAACATTGAGCACCATTCTCAACTTCGAAGGTACTGAAGCAGTTTGTGTCCAAATGCAGCAAGTCCTGGACAACATTCCTGCTTGGACAGATAAGTGACACGTTATATTTGCGCTACACAAATGCTGTATTGAGAGAATCCAGCCATTGCCCCTTGGCATTCATTAGTATGGCCTTCCATGAATTCCCCTTTATCAACATTGTGGGTTAACATTGGCCACTATAAAAGCTCTGTGGCGAAACGAAAAGGCCAAAGACTGTTAATTCTGTAGCAAATAATTTGCTTTCTGACTCTCCAGTGCCGGTCGACCATTTGCAAGGTGCAAGTCAAGAATGTGATAGAAGGTTCTCCTTTTCCCTGGAGTACTGCGATTCCGATCACACTCAATGCTCAAATCCATTCAAGATCGAGTGGCTGACTTAATTGGCACTTCATGTACTCCATTGACTCCTCCTCCACCAACACACAAACACAAGGTGCACTGCAGATGTTCACCAAAGCTCCTTAGACAGTATCTTCCAAACCCATGAGCTGGACCACCGAAAAGGATAAAGGCAGCAGATGTGTTGGTGCACTACCTGCAGGTTCCCCTTCTTGACTTGGAACAATATCCTCATTCCCTTGCTGTTGCTGGCTCAAAATGCTGGAATTCCCTCTCCAATAGCAATGTGGATGCCTCTACACCAGAGAATTATAGGGGTTCAAGGCGGCAGCACATCAAGACAATTAGGGATGATCAATAAATGCTGCCCAGCCAATGATGCCTGCATGCTGCAAATGAATTTAATAAAAACTTAATTGGATGAATAACATCAGTATTGCAGTGACAGAGTAGGTCAAGGGTCTGGTGTTCTGCAACAGATAACTAATCCTCCTAACTCTCTCGAACCTTTTCCCATTTGGCTGGATGAGTGCAGCTCCAACAATGTTCCAAAGTTGATGCCATCCAGGACATAGCAGCCCTATGATTTGTATTCTTTCCACCATCTTTAACGTTCATTCCCTCCATGACCAGTGTACAGTGGCAGCAGTGTATATCATTCACAAAGCATATTGTAGCAACTTAGAGTCAGAGTCATGCATCATGGAAACAGACCCTTCAGTCCAACTCATCCGCGCTGACTAGACGTCCCAATCTAACCTAGTCTCATTTGCCAGCATTTGTACCATATCCCTCTAAACCCTTCATATTCATAAATCCATCCAAGTGCCTTTTAAATGTTGTAATTGTGTCTGCCTCCACCACCAGCTCTGGCAGCTCATTCCGTACACTCACCACCCTCTGTGTGGAAAAAGTTACCCCTTAGGTCTCAAGTCCTTCCCCTCTCACTTTAAACCTATGCCCTCTAGTTTTAGACTCCCCCACCCCAGCTAAAAGACCTTGGCTATTCACCTATCCATGCCCCTCATTATTTTATAAACCTCTGTAAGGTCACCCCTCAGCCTCTGATGCTCCAGAGGAAATGCCCCAGGACTTCAACCTCTCCCTATAACTCAAACCCTCTAGTCGCAGCAACATCCTCGTAAATATTTTCTGCACCGTCTGAAGTTTAACAACATCCTTTGCATAGAAGGCTGACCTGTATGCATTATTCCAAAAGTGACCTCACCAATGTCATGTGCAGCCACAACATGACATCCCAACTCGTATACTCGATGCACTGACCAGTGAAGGCAAGTGTGCCAAACGTCGTCTTTGCCAAACGTCGTGTTCACCATCCTGCCTACCTGTGACTCCACTTGCAAGGAACTATGCACCTGCACCCCCAGGTCTCTTGCTTTGGAAACACCCCCCAGGGCCCTACAGTGGGCATTGAGTGAATCCCTAGAAGAGTATAAGGGCAGTAGAAATGTAGTCAAGGGAAATCAGGAGGGCAAAAGGGGGACATGAGATAGCTTTGGCATGTCGAGTTAAGGAGAACCCAAAGAGATTCTATAAGGGCAAAAGTGTAAGTAGGGAGAGAATAGGGCCCCTTAAAGATTAGTGTAGCCATCTCTGTGGATTCACAGGGGATGAGTGTGAAACTAAATGAATATTTTCAGCATTTACTGTGGAGAAGATCTTAGAATCTAGGGAACCTGGGGAAATAAATATTGATGTCTTGAAAAGTGTTCATTTTACTGAAGAGGAGGTGCTAGAGGCCTTAACTCGTAAAGGTAGGGAAATCCCCAGGACCCGATCAGGTGTTTGCCAGATTGTGTGGGAAGCTACGGAAGAGATTGTTGGGCCTCTTGCTGAGATATTTGTATCGTCAATAGCCAATGGTGAGGCGCTGGAAGACTGGAGTTTGGCTAATATGGTGCCATTACTTCAGAATGGCTATAAGGACAAGTCAGGACACTAGATGGGTGAGCCTTGCATCAGTGGTGGGTCAGTTATAGGAGAGGATTCTGAGGAACAGGATTTATGTGCATTTGAAAAGACTAGGACTGATTAGGGATAGTCAGCGTGGCTTTGTACGTGGAAAATCAAGTATCACCAACTTCATTGAGTCTTTTGAAGAAGTGATGAAGAAGATTGATGTAGGCGGAGCAGTAGACATTGTCTGAATGGACTTCAGCAAGCTGTTCGACATTGCATGGCAGACTGGTTAGTAATGATCACTTGGAATCCAGGGGAAGCCTAACCAATTGGGTACAAAATTGACTTAAATTTAGGAGACAGAGGGTGATGGTTGAGGACTGTTTTTCAGACTGGAAGGTCTGTGACCAGTGGTGCGCCACAAGGATCGGTGCTGGGTCTACTGCTTTTTGTCATTTATAGAGAAGGAGCAATACTTGACCTTCTGTTGGGAAATGAGGCAGGGCAAGTGACTGAGCTGTCAGTGGGGAAGCACTTTGGGGCAAAAAATCATAATAGTTTTAAAATAGTAAAGTAAAAGGATAGAACTGATCACAAATTTAAGGTTTAAATTGAAGTAAGGCCAATTTTGTCAGTATTAGACAAGAACTTTCAAAAGTTGATTGGGGGAGGCTGTTTGCAGGTAAAGGGACAGTTGGGAAGTGGGGTGCCTTTAAGAATGAGATAACGAGTTCGGAGACAGTGTGTTCCTTTTAGTATGAAAAGCAACTCTGGTAGGTGTAGGGAATGCTGGATATCTAGTGAAATTGAGGCTGTGTTCAAGAGAAGAAAAAGGCATATACCTGGATCTGGTATAGACAGCTAACCATTTTCAGCACTTTCCACTTAGAAGGTCAAGGGTTGTAGACCTATAGGAAAACAATCTGCAAGTTTCCCTCCAAGCCATTCATTATCTTGACTCGAATATGTTCACCACTACATGGTCAAAGTTCTGGCATTCTCTCCCTAGTACCACTATGGGTGCCCACACCCACACAAGCTACATTGGTTTAAGAAGGTGGCTCACCACCACCACTAGACAGAGGTAGCAATAATTTCTGGCCTTAAGGTGATATTTGCAATCATTAATAAGTACAACTCGTATGGCTTCAGTTTAAGACAGGCGCAAGGCAAACTTGCGACAACCAATTTGTCATCATCTTCCCACCTTCCCAAAAGTGGTAATGTTGCTTAAAAAGCAGAAATTTGTCCTTATTTGAAGTAATACAACAATTCTTAATGCATATGAATGAAACAGCGGTAACCCTGAACCTTAAATAAACAAGAAAATCACTCTTTATGTTGCTAGTTGTGAACTTCGATCATGGAATACTACTTGTGGTAAGGTTTTAAAGCATTTTATTAACTTGATAAGATTGCTTGTGTTGTATGCAAGATGAGTAGAGGTTACATTGTTACAGCTCACTGCACCTGTTAACGTTCCATGTGCCAAAGTACATTGGATGAGAAGACACTTAGCATAGTTCCCCTTTTGTTTTGGTAAGTAATAAATGATATGGTCAACACTGAAGTGCCAATGGGTGACTGTATACTTTCAGCTAAAACATGTTATACTTTATTTGCAGGTATGTGAAACATTTGGAGTGCTTTGTTCTTGTTCATTGCATGGTGATGGCTGAGCAAGTAGTGGAGGAGGAGATAATCAACGTTTCAATGTACCAGGGAGATTCCCACAGTGGTAGGTACTGCATTGCAATAATGTTGCTGTTTCATATATTGAGTTATAATTTTTTTTGTTTTTGTCAACATCATTTAACACATGTGCACGCTGGAGCTCTTTTCACATAATGTTTCATGTGATTACAATTAACATTCCTTAAACCTTGCTCCTGTGTGGCTATCTTTCCATTTGTTGTATTTGTGCATTTCGTTGCAGAGAATATTTAAGGAAGGAACATTCAACCCCTCTTCATTCAATTAGATCACGGCTGATGTGTATCTTAACTCTCTAATTCTTTTAGTTCCCTAAATATTTAATATCCTTGCTTAACAGATCTAACAATCCGTTTTGACTTTTGAAATGATTCTTGGCCTCTACAGCTTTGTTGTAAGGAGTTCCAGACTTGCATTACCCCAATTAGATTTACCAGATTCATATAAAAGGTTATTTGCATCAGAAGTGCAAATCAGTTTAGGTTTTCTATAAGACAGATTAGTTGTGCAGCTCCATCATCAGAATAAGTTGGAATTCATGCAAATTTTGTGTTTTTGTTACATGAGCGATTGTATTTGGAATTTTAAGTGACAAAATGTTTTCCTGATAATTACTAGAATAACAATTTATGTTGAATGCTTGGAAGTTAGTTGTTAGAGAAATATTGCTGTAATGACAGTTTTTTTTTAAGCTTTGGTTGCCTGCTGATGAGAGAACCATGACAACGTTAAGCAGGTAGAGGCCCTAATTGAGAAGTGAGTCCCTCATCGTCAGCTTCAAAATCTTGTGATGTTTTTGTCTAATATTTGAGGTTGTTGCTCTATTTTCCAAATGGAAAAATGACTGTGTAGCTGTTATTAGTCAATTTAAAAAATGTTCTTTTTAAGTATCTCTCCTCTTCTTACAATTATTTCATCATTCCCTTCTTGCTGGAGATTTTGAATGGATGAAATTACATCCATTTCAAATGTTTTTGACACTTATTTCTGTTCCATTGAAACTGATGCTTACCCTGACCTGAAACTTTGCAACTAACATGCAATTTATATCTGGGAGCCACATTCCGTTTTGTTTCCAAATCTTTCTGGCGCAGATATGCTGCACATAAGACCGCACTGCATGTTGGTGAGATTTTTCAGTTTTCTGGAGGCGCTGTATTGAAATTACACATTTATTTGCCTCTTTGCCCTTCACCTGTTAGGAGTGGAATCGAATTTGATGCAATTTATTTTACAATAACTCCTTACAGCTAGCAAAAAGAAAACAAAATGTATGGCACATCAACTAGATTCAATCCCACCTCAACTAAAAGGAGTAGCCTACGCAGCCATGCTCCCACTTTGTGCTTGTTTAGCCAATGCACGCTGAATCCAGAATATTTTGAAATAGTTGCAACTTTGGAGTTTATCACTCATATCTACTAAACTCAATTTCCCTTCAGTGTGATAAAGTTTTGAAGGGACTGCCAAGGAAATCACATTGGTCAGATAATTCATTCAAGAAGTGGCATTTCCAGACAATGGCAGACTCTTCTTCTCAAATTGCTAATTGAACTAGAACACTTTGAGGAAATTCGCTATTACAGTATGTATTTAGAATGGAAGAACAGAGTTGTGTATACTACGGCTTGCTTCTCAAAGTTACTTATAAGCTGTTTTTTTCTCCAGTGTAGAGCTCCAATGAAGTGGCTGAATATAATTTTCAAAATGCACCAATGTTGCTTTGCAGAAGCATTCCACATTTAAGACTGCCTGTCTGTTAGATTTTGAAGTGGTGGAAGAGCAAGATGAATAACACTAATTGTTTCCATAATTGGCAAGTAAATGCATCATTCCAAAAGGCAAACCAGTTTGCTGTTTGTTGGCCTTATTATCATCCTATTGAAGGAAAGGGGCAGACAGAGGTTAAGAGTCATTATTGTAATGACAGTACCTCTGCTTTTTTGTGAAACTTAAGTTGATAGTTTAGTCTGTTAATGTTTTGCAAGAAAATGCTGCAACAAGTGGATTTGTGATTTTTAATAAAAAGTATTTGAGCAAGTTTGGTAATGCAGAGCCAACCATTTGCCATTGCCATCATTTTTCTAGTCATTCTGCTCTGTTCCCATTTTTCCAATGATTCCACTCTGCTCTGGTCCTGATCTGTATCACCCACTATCTGAAAGAAACACCTTCATGAGGGCTGGAAAAACAATTAATAAATATTATAAATATCTTTTGACAACCAAGTCATCTTTCCCCAATTTTTGTTCCAGTATGGAGAGACCCTCGCAATACGCCAGTCATCACCATCTCTGATGACTCTGACTCAGATGATGATCCTCCAGTTGTGGCCATTGAGAATCAACTCGCAGAGGATCAAGATGTTGTACTCATTGAGGTATTATGCTTTATTCTAGAACCTTCTGTTTAGGGAAATGGATTTACTCAAAATATGTATTAGTATAAATAGCATGATGGTGCTTCAGTAAGGTGGCAGGAATTGGGGGCCTTTTGGGAGTTGACAGTATTGGCCAGGAAGACCTAAGCTGTTGATTGCAGCAAGAGGAAACTCAATGGCTGTACTTCTGGTGCAAACGTAGAAATGTATGAAACAGGAGCAGAGGTAGACCATTCGATCCCAAGAGACTGCTCCACTGTTCAGTAAGACCATGGCTGATTTGTTTGTGTTTTGAATTCCACATTTTCATCAAACCCTGATAACCTTTGATTCTCGTTAGACAAAGGGAATCAATCTACCTCTATTGTAAAAATATTTAATAACCCCTGCATTCACCACCTTCCGAGGTTAAAAAGTTCCAAAGTCGCACAATACTCTGAGAATTTGTCCTCGTTTCTGCCCTAAAAAGGGGCCCCTCCTTTTGAAAGGGTGCCCCTTAGTTCATGGCTGACCTGCAAGAAGAAACATCCTTTCACATTCACCTTGTCGAGAACATTCAGGATCTCAAAACACTTGGCTCTCAAGCCTTAAAATAGCCAGTTTATTTCCCTTACTTGTTGTAATAAACTGAGACTTTTGTGAGAGCCCCCTTCAAACAAGTAACAATACTTGGAGAAGGAAGATCAAGAAGTACCATTCTGATCAGCAAAAGGGTCATTGCAACAAAGCCCATGGATAAGGATAACTGAATTGCCTCCCAGCCTTTATCTCTTCCCACAACACCCTTTTTATGCCTGCCTGTATGTGTGTGTGGAAGGGGAATTTATTAGTGGGTTAGAGTTTTAACTAGTGGAGTCATGTTATTAGTTAATAATTATTTATCTGGAGTTAGAATATGTTTATTATAATAAATTCATTTTTGTTGAGTATGACCTGAGCCTGAAAGACAGGTAAATTGGGAAATTCACTGTACTTTTTGAAATCTGTGACTTCTGTGACGACTCCAGAAATAGCTTGATTTCCAGCAAGCTACCTCGTTGAGGTGTAGCGCAATTGAAACTTTCACGACCTGAGTTTGACAATTTTCTGCTTAATAAGTTATCATAGAATGTGGTGCAAAGGCAGTTAAGTGGAGTTTCAATTACAGATCTGCTATGATCTCACGGACTGGAGGTGCGATACAGCTTATTCTGTTGTTTGTTCCTATTATCCATAACAATGAAATGGTGACCTAAAGACAATATGCCTTTTGGATCAGATTATCATTGTCAATAAGCAACAATGTACTAGGCTATTAAGTGGGAAAGGGAATGTCCAAATGTTGTGATATACTGTATACCTTAAATGTAAATCAATTGGGGGAGAAAAGGAATAATCTAATTTGCTCATAATTGTCACTATAATTAGTTGCAAGTGAATAGAGAAACTATTTTATGTAGTTTTGTTTCTGTTCATTCCTTTGCAAGCCACTTTATACAGTGCAGTTCAAGATTTAAATTACTGATTGTTAACTTTTTTCAAATATGTTTTCTTTCTAATAGGTGTTAGCTCCATTTGGTGCATTTGCTAAACTTGTGATCGATTCTGAAATAATAGTACCAGACTGTTTGCAATAGTACAAGCTCGGTCTCAAGTAGCCTGATTTGCAGTAACTCAACTAATTGAGCTTTAATTCTGATCTGGAAAAGGTGGGGGATTCTGGGGTGGGATAGGGCTTGGAGTGGGTCATATTGTGGGGCATGTGGACTCAAAGGATTGTGTTGGATCTGGGGGTAGGGATGGACTTTGGGTAGGGGATTGTCCCATCAGTGGTCACATGGAGGAGCTTGGTGACGGGTTCAGGTTGGATGGGGTGTAGAAGGTTCGGGGGCATGGATGGAAGAGAACAGTGTGTGTGGTTGGGTACGTTCTGTTTATCTGGGTTGGGATGTTAGGCAGGTGGTGATCGAGAGTGTTTTGGGATGTGCTGGGAATGTGGTCAGCACTGAGTGAAGGCATGGTTGATCAGGAGTGGGACGTCAGGTCAGTTCAGTTCAGGTTGAAGGTGAATGGCGTTGGGTTAGAGTTAAGTGTCATGTCAGATTGGGTTGGGCTTGTTGGGGTCATGTGTGGGCCCTCTTGTGTTGAGGCCATTGAAATTTTGGGACAGTTGGGATTGGAGGGTGCATGGGTTGCATTGGTTGGAGGTGGGATGGAGGATCTGTCTAGGGCAGATGTGAAATTAGATCACTCGGAGAGACTTCTGGGCAGGAATATGTGAAGGTTGATGTGTCCGGTCAGATTGATTGGGGAGAGACATTTCGATGGGTGGGGAGAGGGATGGAACTGTATACTATTTCGGAGGGTTTCAGTTGCAACATAATTGACTGGAAGTTGAAAAGTACCAGGCAAATTCCTGGTAGTCAATGTATCAGGATGTCTGGGCGTTCTGCAGAGCATCTTTCAGGGTACGTTACTGCGACAGCTATCTTCCATTCAGAAGATTTGGACCATTGTCTTTCTACTCCTCATGAAGTGGAATGACTTTTGAAGTCTGATAAAAGTTTACATTTGGCTTGTAGTTCTGAAGAAAACGGAGATAGTTAAAATTTTTAGGCTGATAGAAAAAGAGACATGTATGTTCCAGAATTTCCTCTGGGGTCCTTCTACACTGGCACCCCAGCTTCAGCAGTAATTCAGTGGGGACCACTTTTAAATTGATAAACAAGGTATGTGCTATGATTCCTGCTCGAATTTCAGTGGCACAATGGAAGTATCCCCAAGGAAATTCGATCCCTTTATATGTTTAACAGTTTGGCCCTTAGCTTTATCAAACTCCATTTTACCCACTTATCTTTTGTCAAATCCCTTGCAGACCCCTGTAAGACAAATTCGACCTCCTATCATCATCCGACCTGCATCGGAATGGCGAAATATGCAACAAGAGGAACAGCCAAGGGAAAACCATGGAGGAAATGAAAACTTTGAGGAGGATCGGAGTTGCATCTTGGTGGCGCAGCATAAAATTACGTCCGATTTAGTTGAGGTAAAGGCAGAACCTAACCAAGCCCACCCTCAGCTGGCCACCAGAAATCAGGACATTGCAGCAGGTGAACAACAACATATTGCACAAAGGAACCAAGAACAAAATCAGGTGGACCCTGGAGTAGCTGTTGGTCCTACTCAGGATGTGCAGGCTCCTGAAGTCCAAGCAAATGAAATTGAACTACTGGGCATTCCACTTTTTCCACCAGCTAAGGTGACAGAAACCGAACAGGAAGAAGCTTCAGTGAGACTGGTGAGGGAGCAAGATCCTGTGTTACCTCAGCCAGATATTTTACAGGACCCAGTACGAGAACAGATTCAGCAAGTTGGTAATGAACGCATTGGGCAGGGACACCAAGGGGAGGATGTATTAGAAAATATAATAATGGACTTGGAGAATTTTGAGGAAGCTGCTGGTGAAGGCAAGGAAATCTTAAGGTCACTTGTGAAAGAAACAGTAAGTGTTTACCTCTGTATATTATGAATTGCATGCTTAGCTACTTTAATTTGCTTTAATGTTTGACAAACCAACTCATTGTACAACTGATGTGTTTCTTTCATTTCTAGAAGAAACATTGGTATTTGTGAGACCTCATCTGGAGTATTTTGAAGAGGTTTTACATAGAAACATAGATAATAGGAACAGGAGTAGGCCATTTGGCTCTTCAAGCCTGCTCCACCATTCAACATCACAGCTGATTGTGCAACTCGGCATCCTGTTCCCTCTTTTTGCCTCATACCCTTTGATCCGTTTTAGCCCTAAGAACTGTATCTGTCTCCTTCTTGAAACCATTCCATGTTTTGGCTTCAACCGCTTTCTGTCGCAGAAAGTTCTACCACACTCTGGGTGAAGAAATTTCTCCTCATCTCAATCCTAAATAACCTACCTTGTTCTGCGGTCCCTGGTTCTGGACTCCACAGTCATCAGGGACATCTTGCATTTACGCTGTCTAGTCCTGTTAGAATTTTATCAGTTTCGATGAGATCCCCTTTTATTCTTCTAAACTACAATGAATACAGTCTGTCCTGATTTGTCAGCCCTGCCATCCCAGAAATCAGTCTGGTAAATGTACGTTGCACTTCCCCCTTAGCTAGAACATCATTCCTCAGATAAGGAGACCAAAACCGTGTACAGTACTCCAGATGTGGTCTCACCAAGGCTGTGTACGATTGCGGCAAGCTTCCTTAATGAAGGATATACTTTCTTTGGAAGTAGTTCACTCGACTGATTTCTGGGTTGAAAGGGTTTTCTAATTAAGAAGTGTTGAGCAGGTTGTGTCTGTACTAGAATTCAGAAAAATGAGAGATGTTATTGAAACATACAAGACTTTGAGGGAGCTTAAGAGGATAGTTGCTCTTAGAGAGTTTCATCATGTGGGAAATTTAGAACTAAAGGGCACAGTTTAAAAAAGATACACAAAATGGAAACAAACCTTCGGTCCAACTCATCCATGGCGACCAAATATCCTAATCTGACCTAGTCCCACTTGCCAACATTTGGCCCATATCCCTCTAAACCCTTCCTATTCATGTACCGTTTTAGATGCCTTTTAACTGTTGTAATTGTATCTGCCTCCACTACTTCCTCCGGCAGCTTGTTCCATACATGAAAAAGTTACCCCTCGGGACCCTTTTTAAAATGTTGCTCTCTCACCTTCAACCTATGCCACCTAGTTTTGGATTTGCCTACCCAATGGAAAAGCTATTCACCCTATCCATGCCCCTCATGATTTTATAAGCCTCCATAAGGTCGCCCCTCAGCCTTCGACACTCCAGGGGGGAAAAAAACCCACCCTATTCAGCCTCTCCCTATGATTCAAACCCTCCAGTTAGATATATTGAATATATTGTCTATGAATAGTGCAAAATATGATTCTGCTGCTGCTGATGGCCCACTGTACCTCATGACACCTAGTTCTGAGTTGCTAAGTCCTTGGAATTCCTTTCCAGACAGCAATGGTAGCTAGATCACTGAATAAACCAGAGGGTGAGTTAGACAATTTTTGATGAATAAGGGAATTGAAGGTAATGAGACAGGGAAGAAATTGGAGTTAAGGCCATAACTGGATCAGTCACAAGGCATTGGTAGAGATGGATACAATTGCAACATTATGTTGTACCTTTGTTGAAGAAAGGTTGAAAGGAGAAATTGAGGAACTCTAGACCTGTGAGTCTGACGTCAGTTGTGGGTAAATTGTTGGTGGTGATTTTAAAAGATAGGATATATGAGCATTTAAAGAGGGAAAAATTGATTAGGGATAGTCAGCATGGTTTTGTGCGAGGAAATTCATATTGCTCAAAATTGTTTCAGTTTTTTGAGGAAGTTACTAAAAAGGTTGATTGAGGGCAGAGCAGTAGACATTGTTTACTTGGACTTTAGTGAAGCCTTTGATAAGGTTCTGCATGGTTGACTAATTAGTCAAGTTAAGTCAAATGGGATTTGGAGTGAGCTTGCCAACATGATACATATTTGGTTTAGCAGTAGGAGACAGAGGTGGTAGAAGGTCGCTTTTTGGACTGGAGGCCCGTAACCAACGGTGTTCCAGAGGGATCGGTTCAGGAGCCTCTGATAAAGTTTTTGAGAAGATTTGTTGCTCAGGTTGTGGATGAGATTTCATTCTTTTAGATATAAAGGCCAGCATTCCATTAGACATGGATTACTTTGTATACATGGCAGTTAGATCCCAAATCTATCTGCACTGTTTGTTCCTAGCTTTGTGCTGTTTTAAGCGTACCTTATTCTGTCTTTTTTAAGTCGAAAGTGGATAAGTTTATATTTGCCTGTTTGAACTCCATTTGCCACAAATTTGCCCAGTGATGAATCTGCTAATACTACTTTGTAATGCTTATCTGAAGGTTAGACCCTCTGAGTGTCCTACACTCGTGATGTGTTTACCAAGGTTATATACTCATACTGAAGTGGAACTTCAATCCCGAACTTGAGTCCTGGGGAAGAATGCTATCAACTGAGCCAACTAGCTCCATCCTATTTTATGCTGATAACTTTGGGGAATCTATTATTGTAGCACAGAACAAAAAACTTAGCATTTCACTAAGCATTGCTTTCCTGTATTTGTGAAATCAGAGAATTAAAATATTCAATTGCTTCTATTGATTTGATTGTTAGTCATCTGATACCAATTGAATGTTCTCGTTTGTTCATACATGATGCTAAGGTGGACAGGGCTATAGCTCAAAAGTTTCTCTGGCACCCTTTTAAAAAAATCTGTCTGCTTATTTATCATAGACTTCAAAAATATATTATTCGTGTCTTTTTCATGGCATTTACTATGCTTACAAGCTAGCTTAAAGTTTGTCTCTTGACTCTGCTGATCTTAATTAGCAGTGTTTACCATCACTCATATTTGCCTGACTTTTCCTCATGTTAATTTGATTACCATTTCAGGTGCAGACAGTGTAGTGTGTGTTCCTGAGACCCAGCGATTTGTAAAGATTTTCTTTGCAGATTTGGTTTTCCCTGTCCAGGCCTACTCACTATGTAGAACAAGCCCCTCTTGTGTAGAAGACTTTAAAACATATACTCATTTGCAATCAGACCAGTTTAATTGTCTGAACAGAGGTCTTTTCAGTTAATCTGAAGTCGTTCTGTTATGGTTTAGTCATGTCATAATGCAGTGCTTAATAAATGACCAAACAGTAAACAATGTAATACAGAGCTGTTTTATATTGTGCAATCATGACTACTATAAGTGATCAGTAATGTGGAAGAAAGTTATAGAATGCAGCATTAAATGTAATTTTAATTTTAACAATACAAAAATATTACTGGAATGTGAAAGTGATGTTCAAACAGTTGGCTTTGCTAATCAATAATGATGTGGGAAAAGCAAACATCTGAAAGGCCGCCCTTTTAACCTTTCATGCTACTGCATTTATTTTTCTAAGTGGTTCCAGCTGTTATTTTTGTTTTTGTCCCAGATGCATATATCACCTTGAATGTAATTTTTAAGATAAGGCAGTGTTGATCTTGGCTAAGTGGTCACACTCTTGTTGAAATTAAAAGATTGTCGACTTAATCATCTTTTGCGATGTTCTACTGCAGTACAAAGGGAATGTGCTGCATTGTTGGATGGGTTGCCTTTAGAGTAATACATTAAACTGAGGCCTCACCTACACTGTCAAGTGGATGCAAAAGATTTCTTGGCACTACAAGAATAAAAGCAGAGGCATTTTCCTGGTTTTCTGGACCAACATTCATACTTCAATTGACACTTAGAAATAAACAGATCATGTATTAATTTTTTTTAACTGTTATGGGACCTAGTCATACTGAAATTGACTGTTGTGTTTCATACTTTACAAAATACTTCATTGCCATGACAGTCACTGTAGTCATCATTTAAATACAAGTTTGGCTGTTAATGGACCCCTAAATAATTTTGCAATTCTTGTGTAAAATCTGGTATTCAACCTTGATGTATTAGTGTTTCTTTTTGGGACCTACTTGCATCACCAGAGGCAGGGATTAATTTCTCCTGCATGTGTGGAACTAAACTTCTTTCTCTGGCCTTTGTTGTTTCTTTCGTTGCCTCATGATTAGTTACAAAACAAATGTTTTTTGCTTGGTTCATCTGCTCTTTTGGTTCCTAAACTGGAATTTTCCTCCTTGGTAATCCCTTCCAATTTGTTAAAGCTTCTCCATATGTCAGATACAACATAGTAGCGACCAGAGCACCTGGGGGACAGGGATAATATCAACACCCAAAAGAAGTAATTTTTTGTTGCAAGTTTATGACATCTCATCAAGGCCTCTGAGTATCCTCCATACTCCCTAATTCACACCAAGTTTCACTGCTGTGCTCACTTGCTGATCTCCAGTTTGCTTCCAAGTCAGGCAGCCCCCTCGATTTTTAGAATTCTCATCCTAGTTTTGAAATCTCTCCGTGATCTGACCTTCCTATTTCAGCAAACTTGACAGTCTTAAGGCCTCCTGAGATCTGAGTCATAGATTCATAAAGTCATACAGCATGGAAACAGATCCTTTACTGACCATGTTCCCAAACTGAACTAGTCCCACTTGCCTGCCCTTGGCTCATTATCCTTTTAAACCATTCCTGTTCATGAACTTCTCCAAATGTCTCTTAAACATTGTAACTGTACCTGTATCCCACCACTTTCTCTGGCAGTTCATTCTACATGAACCACTGTCTGTGTTTTTTACAAAAAAAGTTGCCCCTCAGGTCCTTTTTAAATCCTTTCTCCCCCCACCTTAAAAATATGCCCCTTTGTTTAGAACTGCCCCATTCTAGGGAAAAGACCCTTGTCATTCACCTTATCTATGCCCCTCATGATTTTATAAACCTCTAAGGTCACCCCGCAACATCCTATGCTCCAGTGAACAAAGGTCCCAGCCTTTCCAGTCTATTTTTTATAACTCAAATCTTCCATTCCTGCGACATCCTGGTAAATCTTTTCTGAACCCTCTCCAATTTAATAATACCCTTCCTATGATAGGGCAATCAGGATCTCTCTCAGTAGTCCAGAAGAGGTCTCACCAATGTCCTGGACAACCTCAACATGACGTTCCAACTCCTATACTCGAATGTCTGAGCAATGAAGGCGGGTGTTCTAAACACCTTTTTAAACACCATGTCTGCCTGCGATGCAAATTTCAAAGAATTATTTACCTGAACCCTTAGGACTGTCTGTTATGCAAACTAAAGTTTAATTATGAGTCCTGCCCTTGTGTGTATTGCCAAAATGCAATACCTTGCATTTATCCAAATTAAACTCCATCTGCAACTCCTCAGCCCATTGACCCAATTGATCAAGATCTCTTTGTAATCTTAGATAACCTTCTTCACAGTCCGCTATACCACCAATTTTGGTGTCCTCTGCAAAATTACGAGCCATGCCTCCTATATTCTCGTCCAAATCATTTGTATAAATGACAAACAAAAGTGGACCCAGTACTGACCCTTGTGGAACACCTGCTGGTCTCGGGCCTCCAATCTGCACAGCAACCCCCCCTTCCACCACCCTCTCCTACCGTAAAGCCAATTTTGTATCCAGTTGGCAAGCTCACTCTGAATCCCATGTGATCAATTTTACTAATTCGTCTGCCATGCGGAACCTTGCCGAAGGCTTTAGCAATCATGCTTTTTGCCTAATCTTTGGAATTCCCGCAACCCCATGGCCTCCATCACCACCTTCACACTTGTGAAAAGTTGTCTTGTCACCAAGCTTTTGATCATCCATCCTGACATCATCTTGTGTGGCTCTCTGTCTAATCGCTTCTGAAGCATTGTCAGAAATTTGACTACATTAAGAATGTTGTATAAATGCACACTTTGGTGTTGGCATTTAATTTTGGTGTCTGGAAATACATAAATTTAGGAGTTTATTGAAGCATTTGTCAATCTATATTGGTGGCTTATATTTTGTCTGTTAAAATTCCTGTGTTCTTTCAGCCAAAATGTAGCAATAGGTCCTTTTACTTTAACAACTGTTTTCACATAGGTCATAACTGTGTTTGAAAGTGAACTGCTGTGTAGGTCATGAACAAACTGACCTTGTAAGAAATTATGGGAAAGCTGACTTCACTGGAGAATGTAATTTGTAGGTGGAGAGGAAAGGGCAGGATAGTCCATTGTTAAAGATCTTAGAATGAATTGAACACATACCTGACTAAAAGAATTTATTTTGGTAATTTTCTAAAAAGACAAATTTTCTTGATCTGTAACCTCACATGCTTTGGTACCATCAAACCAGTGAGTCAACCTTGGTTCATTGACTAGGAGAGCATGCCAGGAGCAGCTCGAGGTATATTTAAGATTGAGGTGCCAATCTGGTCATGGTGCAACACAGGATTCTGTGCCTGATAGTAGAAATAAGTGATCCCACAACCAATGGATCAGGTCAAAGCTCTGCAATCATTCTACCTCATGAAGGCTGGTAGACAATTCAAACTAACTGGAGAATGGGGTTACATTCTTGATGAAGACTGAACTCGGCGCATGTGTGGCAAAGACCAGGCTTCAACATTTGCAACTACTTTCAGGCAAAATTGTTAAGTCATCTCAGCCATCTCCTAATGTCCTCATTTCACATTGGCACTCTTAAGTAAAATTCACATAACATCAAGAAACAATAAAGCTAATGCGATATAGCAAAGGCCCCAACACTTTCTATAGTGCTGTGGAGTTGTACTCCAGAAGCCACACCTCTAGCCAAACTCTACCACTACTGATACAATACTGACATCTACCCAGTAAAGTGAAAAATTGCCTAGTATGACATGGCTGCAAAAGCAAGACTAATCTGACCTGGCCAATTTCTGTCCCATCAGTCTATTTTAATCATAAGTATGATGGTTGGGGTTGTCAGAAATTTTATCAAGCAATAATTGTTGAACAATAACCTGTTAACTGCAGCTAAATTTAAGATTGTCCAAGATCACTGTGTTCTATACCTCTTGATCTGAACACAGCTGAATTACAGAGGTGGCATGAGAGTGTCATGGCCAAAAATCCCACATACAAGATTAAAATGTAAAATTGATGTGCGTGGGATTGGAGTTAGTGAATAGAGATGGATAGAAAATCGGTTAGCAATAAGAAACACCGTAGGAATAAATGGGTCTTTTTTTGAATGGCACAGTGATCAGAGATGTTGCGATGTGATTTGAACAGGTTGAGTGAGGGGACAGATGCAGTATAGTGTGGATAAATGAGAGGTTATCCACTTGAATAGCAAAAATGGGAAGACGGATAATTATTTGAATGGCTGTAAATTGAGAGAGGAGAATGTTCAATGTAACCTGGATGTCCTAATGAAAGTAAGTGTGCAGGTGCAATAGGCAGTAAAGAAGGCAAATTGTTTGGCCTTCGTGGTGAGGGGATTCAAGTACAGGAACAAGGATGTCTACTGGAATTCTTCAACGATAAAACCAGTAGAGTTGGTTGGGGGAGCTAGCAGATGTGGTTTATTTGGACTTTAAGAAGGCTTTTCAGGAAGTTCCATATAAGAGATTAATGCATAAAATTCAAGTGCTTGGGTTTGGGGTTACTGCATTGAGATGGAGAGAAAATTGACACCAGACAGGACACAAGAAGAGTAGGAATAAATGGGTCTTTTTCTAAATGGTAGGCAGTAACTAATGAGGTAATGCAGGGATTGATATTAGGAGCATAGCTACTCACAATATGTTCATGATTTTAAATGAAGCAACTAAATATACTACCTCAATTTGCAGATGACATGAAGCTGGGTGGAAGGGTGAGCTGTGGGGAGGATGCAGAGACGTTGCAATGTGATTTGGACAGTTGAGGGCGTGGGCAAATGTGTGGCAGATGCAGTGTAATATGGTTAAAAGCGAGGTTATACACTTGGGTAGCAAAAATAGCATGACGGATTATTATTTGAATGGCTTTAAAATGAGTGGAATGATTGGCAGATCAGACTGGAGGGGCCAAATGGCCTAATTCTACTCCTAAATCTTACGGTCTTAGCTTGTGTTGCGTGAGACCTGGATGTCCTCTTAACACTCAGTGAAAGTAAGTGTGCAGGTTCAGCAGGCAGAAAAGAAGGCAAACTTTGTTGGCCTTCATAGCGAGAGGATTTGAGTAAGCAACAAGGATGTCTTCCTGCAATTATACAGAGCCTCAGGGAGACCGCACCTGGAATAATGTGTGCAGTTTTGGTCTCCTTATCTGAGGAAGGATGTTGTTGCTATAGAGGGAGTACAACAGAGATTTACCAAATTGATTCCTGGGATGGCAGGACTGATGTATAAAGAATTGAGTTGGTTAGGATTTAATCACTGGAGTTAAAAGAATGAGCGAGGATTTTGTAAAACGGATAAAATTCTGACAGAGGATGAGACAGGTTAGATACAGGAAGGATTTTACAGATGGTGGGGGAATCCAGAACCAGGGAGTCATAGGTTAAGAATAAAGGATGAGGGAAGAACTTTTCTCACCCAGAGTGGTGCGCCAGTGGAAATCACAACCACAAAGTGGTTGAGGCAGAAATGTTGTGTTTTCGAGAAGGAGGTAGATGTAGCTTTTGTGGCTAAAGTGATCAAGGGATATGGGGGAGGGTGGGATTAGGGTATTGAGCTCCATGTTCAGTCATGATTGTATTGAATGATTGAGCAGGTTCGAGGGGTCGAATGGCTTGCTACTGGTTCTGTCTTCTATGTTTCTCTGTAACCATTACAAAATTGAAGGTATTGGGGATGAATGGAAAATTGTGTGGCTACTAAGAGCAAGTCAGAGGCTGGGAATTGTGTGGCAACACACCTCACGTTTCCCCACAGCTGGTTCTTCATCAACAAGTCACAAGTTAGGAGTGTGATGGAGTGCTCTCCACTTGCCTGCGAGAGTGTGCAGTTCCTGAAACACTCAAAAACAATGAAGACCATGTTCAATGCAAAGCAACTGGCTTGATCAGCACCCTCTTCACCACCTCTGCACGACACACTTTGCTGAGACTTTGTCAACATCTCTCAAGCTGTGACATTTTTTAGTCTGAGGATAAAGGAACTTGCTCATCACCAACCTGACATGGAACTATAATTTCACTCCTTCGCTCCTTCACGCCCTCTGAAAGCATGATTGGAGTTCCTATGTCACAATGACCCCAGTTCAAGAAAGTGTCACATCAACTTCGCAAGTGCTATTGCTGATAAATGCTCACATTGCACGTAATGGCCACATCCACGAATAAATTATAAAATGTATCATTTCACCTCCAGTGATTAGGTTTTGAAATCTCCAAACTAATAATGGTTTGATTTTTTTTTTGTGTGGACTAGAAAGATGCCAAATGAAATGATGTAGAGGGTTAGACTCTGTCACCTATTTTGTTAGGAGCTGTGTGTTGAAAAGCAAGAAGTCCTTGAAGTCCATAATTAATTGAATATTGTAGAGGTCTCATCAGTGAGTTGTGTGGAAAAATGGTCGGCCCCCTTCCAACTTTTGAGAATTTATTTCTCAAAAGTCTGTTGCCACAGTTTCTGGTTAACGGGACTATTTAGTGCAGTGGGCAATGGAAATTCAGTTTGGTTTCAAAATATGTAAATTCTTTGTTTGTAATATTTGATTAATCAAGATTTTGCATTTCTAGCATTGTATTTTAATTCAGCTTGACTTTTACAGGTGAATCTGTTCCCTGATATCGAAGAACAGTTCGTTGAAGAGCTGATTACGACAAATGAAATCTGGGATTTAAATGTGTAAGTTATTCTCATTATCAGGCAGAGGAAAATGTGATACTGTGTGGTTTATGGAAAATAGAGATAGAGATGAAGTTGCCGTAGTCCTACTGGACCGTAGGGCTGTTCTTTCATTAGAGAGGGATGACTGGTGGTGGTTTAACCTGAGGGTCACCATGCTCGAAGCGAGGGAGAGGTTGAGCAGACCTTGAGGATGGCAACCTCAGCTGGTGTGACAATTGATACAAACTGGCCATCCAGCTAAGTGACTCCAAAACAGAGGTAGCGTAGTGGAAATGTAACCAATTACCCATAATTTTTCATGGGTATTGTATAGCTGAAAATGGTGTTTTTCTTTCACTGGTGCTACCATATAATTCTGTCTTGTCAGAGAGAGTTTCTCAAACGTTGTCACAGTTTCAAACACTGCATATTGATAAGTTTGTGGTTCTACAATCAGAATAATGCAGCGTGGGAGCAGGCCCATCAAACCTGTACTGCCTGTGCATTAGAACTAACAAATTGGTCCTGCACACTAACTGCTTTTTTTGTAAAAAAAATTCATTCATGAGATGTGGGTGTCACTGACCAGATCAGCATTTACTACCCATCCCTAATTGCCCAAAGGGCTCTTAAGTGTCAACCACATTGCTGTGGGTCTGGAGTCACATGTAGTCCAGACCAGGTAAGGACAGCAGTTTCTTTCCCTTGGGGACATTAGTGAGCCAAATGGTTTTTTTCTTAAAATTGAGTTTAGTGGTCATCATTAGACCCCAATTCCAGATATTTATTTAATTCCAATTCCGCGGCAATATTTGAACCCAGAACATTACCTGGATCTCTCGATTAATAGTTTAGTGATAATACCACTAGGCCATCACCTCTCCCTTCCCTAAAACTCTTCCAAATATTTATTTAAGTCTCCTTTGAAATTTAGTATTGAATATATTTCTGAGACCCTTTTCAGGAAATGCATTCCAGATCACATCAGCATCTTCAAATAATCTCAATTTCTTTTGTCTGCTGCCTGAACTCTGCGTCGTCTGGGATCTTATCAATTTGCAACTGGAAAATGTATATCAGAGTCTCTCTTTATTTTGAAGATAAGATTAAGAGATTTCATACTTTCTGCTTGAAGAACTAACACCCAGCCTCTGCAGTCTCTTGACATAATTGAAACCTTTTAACCTTGGTTCATTCTAATAAGTCTCTTCTGCAACTTTTATAAGGCTTTGTTATCCTTCTGGAGTGTGGTGCCCAAAACTGAACACAGTATTCCGCTATTAGCTATTTAAAATAAACTTTTCCTTGACTCTTTTTATAACAATGATTCTATTTCCAAGGTAAGCTTTGACCAAGGTGGTCACTAAAAAGTGCATAACAACAACATTTTTTTATTCACTTGTGAGACATGGATGTTGCTGGCTGGCCAGCATTTATTGCCCATCCTTTGTTGCCCTTGAGAATGTGGTGCTGAGCTGTTTTCTTGAACTGCTGCAGGTTGACCCGCAACGCTGTTAGGGAGGGAATTGCAGGATTTTGACCCAGTGACACTGAGGGATAGTGAGTGGCTTGGAGGAAATCTTGAAGGTAGTGGTGTTCCCATGTATCTGCTACCTTTTTTCCTTCTAGGTGGAAATGGTCATGGGTTAGGAAGGTGCTACCTGAGGATCTTTGGTGAATTATAGGATGATTTGGTTCTCCTTTAACCCCACTGTTTGAGTTAACACCTTGCTTATATATCTCATTTTGCCTGGCCACATCATGGCTATGGTGTCAAATCTGTATTGTAAAAAAAATCAACTGTTTTGACAACAACGTGTCTGGTCCAAAACATGATTTTGAGAATGGGACATATGTTCTGCATCTACCCGCTTCCTTGAATTTTAAACGTTTTTGTTCTCTCGCAGCTTTTTTTAAAAAATAGTTGAAGTGCTCTTTAACAAACAAAGTTGTGTGAATTTGTAATATTAAGGGTTGAATTTCCCACCATTTCATCTCTTAATTAAGTGTTCCTTTGCTAAAAGTTGCTGGTTTGGCATTGTGGTTCCCTAAAACTTTGTTGTTCATTCTCTTCTAGACAGAGGGCAAAATAAGACGGTTACAGAAACTTGGTATTTCCTCATGGAGTGGATGATGAGATACTAAGGTCATCTGAAGGACTGGTCACAGTTGTTACTGCTCAGTGTTTTAGTCATGGATGTATAGAAGGTCTTTAAAAAAAAGTTAAGTAAGGGAAAGACATTTGGAAAGGTCCTTTGTGGTTGTAGTCACCACTGAAATTTGCATTTTAGCTTACAGGATGTAAATGTTCTTCCCCTTTTTTTTTGGTTCTCATTGCTCTTTGCTTAGTCAATGTACACTGGAAGATTCTGCCCTTCTGTTTGATATAGAGAGGAAGGTGATTTTGAATTTAAACAAACTAAATTTTATACCAACATGCCTTCTGCCCTTGTTTTCAGCTTGTGTAACCACCTCCTGGAAAATCCTGATTATCCGAAGAAAAATTTAATTTTCTCACACAGCAGCAGTTTGCTTGAAAGTAATGAAGAGGTAACTTGGTTTGTTTTTGTTATTTCATATGGAACATCCTTTTCCTGTAGACGTTTGATTGAAATTGGATTCTGTTATTGTGCTGTACAGCAGGTTTGTCTGCTGTCACAGAGGATAGGAGGACGTGACACCAAGAGAAGCTAGCTTACACTTCCTTTCAGGTATAAGCACAAGCTGCAACAACTTGCAGGTATCCACGCTCCTCTGCAGCCTTCTTGCCCACCACTTCCCTCTGTCTCCATCCCTTCTCATAACTTGTCTCATTTTTATTTTTTATTTTCTGACCACCTACTTACTGTTGAATGGTCTATACTCAGCAAAGGTCTTAGTTTTATTCCTCTGCACCCCCACCTTAATGAATTTGAAGCACAACGTGGACAAGAGTCCTCTCTCTATCCCACAGACCCCTTCATCCGCCTCCAACACTCTTCCTCCACCTGGACCCCTCCCTCTCATTCAGAATTAGAAAAAATGATCAATTTCACTTCCAATTTCTGCTCTGCTCTCATGTTTGCTTGGTCCATCTCTTACTCCTCCCTTCTCTTCCTTGACATCTGTTTCCATGTCTGGGGATCTGCTGTGCAATAATTGTACAGACGCCCATAGCCTGTTACCAAATCACCTTTTATTTACACGTGGAGAGTCCTTGACACTGATGCAGCTCGCAGAGTGAGCAGGATCTTTGACACTCCTGTTCTTATCTATCAGCCAGGGCTCCCTGATTGGGGCTGTTAATCTGGTCCAATCAGGAGACGCACCTGACTGACTTTGTTACAATCACTACAGTCTGGGTACCAATGTCTGCTACAATACTACCAACTCCCACCTGAATTATACATCCTTACATCCTGCTTCCTGTAAAAACTTAATTCCAGTTTTCCAGTTTCTTCATCCATTGCATCTGTTCTAATGATGCTACTTTTTGCAGAGGACCCTCAGAAGTTTCCAAATTTTTCACTGAGGATTCCTCACCATTATGGTTTTCAGAACCCTCACACATGTCAGACATCTTCTGCACTTCAGCCCTCACCCCTTCTTTTCCTTCCCACAACCCTGATAAGGTCCCCCTCATCCTCACTTTCTACCTCACTAGCATCCACATCTAAGGATCATAAACCTCCATTTCTGCCACCTCCAGCGGGATGCCTCCACCAGACACACATTCCTCTCCCATCCCTTGTCAGCATTCCATAGGTCCAATTTGATATGGGGCACCCTGGTCCGGTCGTTCTCCATTACCAACTCCTCCCCACATTCGCACAGCACCTTTCTATGCAGTCACAGAAGGTGCAACACTTGCCTGTTTATCTCCTGTCTCCTCACTGTCCATTGTTCCAGATACACCTTTAGAGGTGAAGATGCGATTTACCTGCACTTTATCTCATGCACTGCTTACTTTGTCTTCTCCTGTACACTGGGCGACCGCTTTGAAGAACAGCTACATTCTGTCTGCAAAAATGACCCTGAGCTTCCAGTTGCCTGACACTGCACCACACCACTGTTCCCTGGCCAATATTTCTATCTCAGGCTTGCTGCTGTGCTCTACTGAGGCTCCATGCAAGCTGGAGGAGCAACATCTCATGTTCTGCTTGGGGACCCTGCAGCCTTCAGGACTCCATATCGAGTTCAATAATTTTAGAGCCTGAACACCACCTTCCATGTCATTTAGCCACCCCCACGTCCCAGACCTTGTTATGCCATGGGCTACTTAGAGCACAATCAATCCATTCTCACCTACTTATGGTCCCATTAGCAGCTCCTTTTTCTTCCCGGCTTACCATTATCCATCTCTTTGTATGCCTAACTGTCTTTCTAACTCTCTCTGGGCTCCATCTACACCTATCTCTTACTCCTTGAACCTCTTCTCATCTTCATGTACACCACCGTTCCTAGCTACCTTTAGCTTTAAAGAAGGGTCACTGGACCTGAAACATTAACTCTGCTTTCTCTCCACAGATACTGTCAGACCTGCTGTGTTTCTCAAACAGTTTCTGTTTTTGTGTGTGGCGTAGATGGTGCTGGTTATGGGAATAGTGGGAAAATATCTGTCAAAGCTTTTGCAGTTTAGAACTTCATATTGGATGTTGCTTATTTTAGTTCATTTCCCCATTTAGTGGAAGAAAGTAAAAATTTTAAAACTGCATTGACTTTTTGTTCTTGCCAGCTTTTCTTTTAGGGACAAGGTACTTATCTGATCAGTTGTTACATGCTAATGAATTTGTGTATATGTATGTGTGTTCTGTACTGAACAGAAACCTAAAATGGATTTTTTCGACTTCTCGAAGCTTGCTCCTGTGAACCAGCAATGTTTTCTTCAGGCTTCTGACCTCCTCATGGCAGATTTTAAAATGTTAAACAGTCAAGACATCAAATGGGCTTTACATGAGCTCAAGGGACACTATGCAATCACCCGCAAGGTTTGTATTATCAGGTGCTTTTAGCTTCTCCTTTTCAGTTTTGTTTTATTTACTGATTATTCGTAATCATATTGAATAAAGGAAGATCTATTCCAATATTAATGTTTAGTTGACAGCATCACATACACACACAATATATAAATACAGTGTTATGTTTTGCAGTTTACGTACTTGAGAACAGTGTGTGACACCAAAGTTTGGTCATTTTGGGATATGAAAGCTTGTGTATTCTAAAATCAATAACCAGAAATGATACTATGAGGCTACATTGACTGGAGGTTTCAAGCTAACAGCTTGATGAAGTTGACTTCACCTCTATGACTGAAATATACAGCATGGATACAGGCCCTTTAGCCCAACCTGTCCATGTCACCCAGTTTTTGCAATGAAACTAATGCGGTTTGCCTGTGTTTAGTCCATATCCCTTCATACCTATTCCTTCCATTTACCTGTCGAAATAGTTGTTAAATGACAAAATTGTACTTGTTTCCACCACGATCTCTGGCAACCCTCTGCATAAAAAATTTGCCTTTCTAGACCCTTTTGTATCTTGCTCCTTTCACCTTAAACCTGTGCCGTCTAGTTTTAGACTTTCCTACCATGGGGAAAAACTGTTGTCGATCTACCTTATCTATGCCTCTCTGAATTTATAAACCTCTATTATGTCACCCTTCAGTCTCCTACGCTCCAGGGAAAAAATACCCCAGCCTATCCAATCTCTCCTTATAATTCAAACCTTCCAGTCCAGGTAGCATTCTCGTCAATCTTTTCTGCACTCTTTCTAGTTTAATAATACCCTTGCTACAGTAGGGCACATAGTAGAACTGCACATAGTGCTCCAAATTTGACCCTCACCAATGTTTTGTACAACTGCAGCAATATGTCCCAACTCATATACTCGATGGTTTGACCAATGAAAGCAAGCATGCTGAAAGCTTTCTAGCATTTATCTAGCAATGGGATTTATTTAATATATACTAAAATGCACAGTGAAGAAATGTTTCTGTACCTGATATTTGTAGATTTTGTAAGTAATATTCTTAATGCATATATAAAAACAAGCAGAGAACACGAACAAAGTTATTCTCACTCTGCTGTCCTCTGGTTTTGCACAGTGTGTTAATCTCTGAATGTTAAGTTAATTTTGTACATTTTTAAAAATAAAAGCAAAAAAAGTTTCTATTACCTTTGCTTTTAATTTGAATTTTAAACCTAATTATTGTTGCTCTGAGCAAAATTCTTTTTCTGATTGGTGACCTGTCATCTATTTTACTTAAGTGCTACTGTGATTTCAGTTACCTTAATTTTATTATTTCTAAGACATTCATGCAGATGCACCACAACAGACATTAGGTAAAAACCTTATGAATTCCTTCCGTTCCTAAAAGAAAATTGCATTTAATTAGCTAACTGTAGCAAAAGGAGCTTTATGACCCATGCTTTTCTTTTGATTTATTAACTATTTAGTTGTGAATGATACATCTGAAGACTAACTCTTTTTGTTCTATGAACTGTATTCTGTGCTTGCTGTTATAATGTTTTTTACCTGCTGCCTATTTTATAGGCCTTATCAGATGCTATTAAGCAATGGCAGGAAAACTCGCCGCAATCCAGTCAAAAAAAGAGCAGAAGAAAAGAAATGAGCTCATCTAATTCAATCAGTTTCAAATTCGAACAAGGTAAGGAATGAAAATAGCTAGTGTATGGAACGCCCATGCTGTCGGTTCTAAGTTTGAATTAATGTACCTTGAAATAGTGAAATCCAATTTAGCCATAATGTTTAAGTGCCAGTTGTTGCATTTAAATTAATTGGACTGCAACCCCATTTGTATTTCATTCTGATAATTCAGGAAAATAAACTACCATCTTTTCCTTGCCACAAGCATGCAGAATAATGAGGTGGGTGTAAACATAACCCATGTATAACCCAACATACTGATATTTTATTACACATAAACATCTTTCAGTACTAGTACATTTGCAAAAATGTGATATTCATATACAGCCTATATACTGACTTGTTGGCAGTCACATTGAAGAGCAGATTGAATAACCAGAGATTACTTGCATCTTTTGTCTTGTGACATTGTCATATCGACTCTTTGTTGAAAATTATGGGGAACACTCGTTTAACAGTCCAGCAGAAACTATCTGCAAACAGATGCAAATGTGTCCTTTTTTCGTGCTGGGCAACCCTTGTGCTGCTTTGGATTTGTTTGGGACAGTTCAAAGTCTTCCAGGAGCACCATTCCAATGAAAGCCAGATAGTGCTACCATAATATGTCTGATAATAGCATAAGTTTCTACCTCCAGTGAAGTTTCAAGTATTTCAGTGAGGCCTTAAACATTTGTTTTGTGTGCCTTATTTACTAAACACCATTTAAATATGAAGTGGCCATCTGCAGAAAAATAAAGTTTTGAAAACCAAAATAAATTTATGTATCAGCTTGTCCAGAAATGTGTATATGTTCATTTTTGCACTGTTAGAAGTGATAGTGATTGGACGCTTCTCATTCTAGCTGTGTTGCAATTTTCTCAGGTGCCTTTAAAATAGAGAGACAGATGCGCTTTCTAGAAAACAAAAGACGACACTGGAGATCGTATGACCGGGATGGCCTTCATCCTCTAGTGCGACAAGAACTGGAGTTCTTCCATCAGAAGATGAAAGAGATGGAAGAGGTGAATCATGTGCTCAAGATGTACAGCAGTGGAAGTTCCAAAATTCTTAAAAGTTTATCTCAAGTAATGTTTTAAACATTTTGTGGACAGGATCCTAATTTCTTTATATTCTTATACCTAGACACAAGGCATTTGTCTGCATGGTGTTATTAATGCTGAGAGGGAAACCTGTTATTTCAGATGAAAAAGCTTCTCCATTTGGGTTCAAGGCATTCAGAAAAGCTGGAGAAAGACAGAAGGGATCCTAGTTGCATTGATTATGGAGAAAAATATTGTACTCTGAGAAATGCATTGTGTTTGAGTTTGATTTATTGTTGTTTCTCTTACCGAGATACAGTGAAAAGTGCTGTTTTGCTTGCTATCCAGGCAGGTTGTACCGTACAAAGTACATCAGGGTAACAGAACAGAGTGTAGAATACTGTGTTGCACCTGCAGAGAAGGTGCAGAGAGAGAGATCAGAATTAATATTTGAGAGGCCTGTTCAAAAGTCACGACAACAGCAGGGAAGAAGCTGTTCTTGAATCCGTTTGCATGTGTATTCAAACTTCTATCTTCTGCCCGATGGATTATGTTGGTTGCTTTGCGGCAGTGGGAAGTATAGATGGAGTCCTTGGATAGAAAGCTGGTTTGCGTGATGGACTGGGCTGAGGTGGTTAAAAGGCATTTGGCACACTTGCCTTCGTTGCTCAGTCCTTTGAATGCAGGATTTGGGAAATCCTGTTGAGGTTGTACAGGACATTGAGGCCTTTTTTGGAATACTGTGTCGAGTTCTAGTTGCCCAGTTTTAAGAAGGATATTAAAAAGCTGGAGAGGGTTCAGAAGAGATTTACCAGGATGTTGCTGGGTATTAAGGTTTATGTCCTAAAGAAAGGCCTGGATAGGCTGGGGTAGTAGGAACTGCAGATGCTGGAGAATCTGAGCTAACAAGGTGTAGAGCTGGATGAACACAGCAGGCCAAGCAGCATCAGAGGAGCAGGAAGGCTGACGTTT